AAAGAAAATTGGCAATTCGTTGAGTGGACCGTGGGGATGACGTTTGCCGAATTTTACAGCGCGCCGCGCATAGCCTCCATTTTGAAAAAACAAACAAACAATGCCCGTGCTCCTTTCCTAGCAAGCAGAGGACCGAGTTAACTGGCGGGACATGGGAGATGCCTTTGTCCTGCAGTGGACGTAGTCAGGCTGATACACGCCTGACCAATCCTCCTTTCACGCGCGGTGACGCAAAGTCACGTCACTGCTCGGCGACTTGACGTAGTAGCACGCAGCTCGTCGATTGGTCTAAACTAGTCGCGACGACGGGCTCCTCCTCGCCCTACCTGTGAGGGAGGAGGGCGGCGCGTGGCCGCGCCAAAATTTGAAACCAGCCGAAACCGATGTTCTAATCCCTGTAACTTCATTGATATAGCACGTATTCGCAAAATTCATACGTCAGCAGGTCCACAAAGCAAAAGGGCATATAATTCTCTTTATAACAATTTTTAGACCTCGGAGTTGTTTACTGGTTCTTTAAGTAAAGGAAGATGATGAAGAAAGGGCACTCCGACATGGTAATGACAGTTTTCCCGAGCGATCTACGAAGGTCCGTTCCCACATAAAAAGCACCACTGTTTACTAGCATTCAAAGAAAATCAGAATGGGAGCTTTTTTTTTTTTTTTATGAGCGCGGCTGTTCGAACTGGGCGCAATGTTCCTGTCCACAACAGAAAACTCTCATAAATCGGCGCGCATTCTCTTCATTCATCATCTTCGTCTTCCTCATCTTCTGCTTCGCTTGAATTTCATCGAATAAATCCACATTGGGCAATTTTTCTTTACCGGTGAGTGTTTATTTGCATTTACCTGAAAACGCGGAGCCCTATAGTTATATCTTGCTCATCTGCTGCTTTGCTTGGACTTCATCGGCCCTAAACCCACATTGGGCGATTTTCTTACCGGCAAAAGTTTATTCGCATTTACCCGAAAACACGATGCCAATTTCCTCGCATGTATAACACAGTTCTTTGTCACAGAGTACCTTGAACAGAGGGACTATGCTAACACACGCGTCAGCTTCTATTCCAATGAGAGAGCTTCGTGTGTTTCGCTCTACCACTGCGTTGCGAAACACATGTACTTCACGGGCGACACGAACAGAATCTGTAGTCTGCAAGATGATGATGATGATGATGATGATGATGATGATGATGATGATGATGATGATGATTAAAGGCATCCCCTTTGTATCAGGGTGACGGCATGCGCCTCCTGCACTGCCCCCTGGTGCTTCCGCAACGGGGAGTTAATGCACCGGCCAGTTTGGCAGACAACAACGGGACAAGGGTATACCGTATACACAACAGTGGTTCTGCACCGAACAGTCATCGTCCGATAGTTTGCCGGTCATTCTCTAAGTCCCATAAGAAGTAATCCATCATAATTCTGTTATCGATAAAGAAAGTGGACAGAAAAACAAGTAGTTCATTTTTTTGTGCACATTCACTTCTTTACGTCGTAATTACTTCAATTAAAGGTACAAGTAACGTTCGTTACGCTTTTATTGGCTTCATTATTCGTGCCTAAGAAAATCGGGCGCCTCGATTCCGTAGGGGACGAATCCCCACGCTCTGAAATCACGTTCCGCCGCCACCGTCCGTGCTAAAACCCGGCACCGCATTGATTGAGCGTGACTCACTATTTGCTTCGTTTATTTAAAAGCAGTTAATCCCGCAGTCGCAGAGTTCCGCTCACATAAAAGCGAAAGCGGCTCGTTTAAACTAAACACTCTGTAGGGTTTCTTGCGCGTTAGTTTTTCTTTTCTTTTTCAGTTCAGTGCAGGTCCCTTTGCATTCTCAACCATGGGCTCCGTGCCTCGTGCTTGCCATCTCCGAGGCCATGACTCAACTATAGCATTCCCTCGCTATAGGACAGGGCAGCTCAAGGGGTGATAGGGCAGAACAGTGCTCAGTTCTTTTTTTCTCTCCGCTCTGGTGCACTGATGCTAAATTATAAGCATATACGTACGTTGCACCATTGCACCCCATAGTTACAGCACTGTGCAGTTGAAAGCGTCTGCGAAAACCTAATATGTCACCTTTCTAGTTCTTGGTGATGTTTTTCAACGTCCTTGGGATAGCACCACCGTGTAAAATGAATGTGGCGTACATGTTGCTTTATGTCCATAAGTACTATGCGTGGTCTTGTGGGCTGTTCACTTGAAGTGTGCGATTTGGAAGTGGCGAGTTGTGCAAGTGCATTTTGTAGCTATAATATCATGACATGGAAACGTCTGGCAACGAGGAGGAAGAAGAAGAGGAGGACGAGGAAAGGAAGGACAGGGAGGTGAGAGAATTCTTCATCTGCGAGGCACTGAAATCGGGATAGTCGGTACTGATCCACATAGGCTTGCGCAGGGAGGGGGTAGGTGTATATACGGGGCTGACTTAAAATGCCCCCCCCCCTTCCTTCCGTGTCGCAGTGCTACCCCTCCCAATTAGGTCAATGAAGAGAGCTGACTTTGCTCATTACACCTCTCTTAGATGATCAGAAAGGCACCCTCTCCTTTGCTTCCTCTTCTTCGTTGTGCGGGCGCCTATGCTGAAGTGCCAGAAGCACCTAACAATGACGAAGAACACAGAACAAGAGCACGTCTGTGCGGCTGTTGTATTTGCATGTCGATTACTTCCATCTTCCGGGAGTGGGTGCACGTGGCGTTGATATTTTGATGCTTCAGGGAGAAGTGCTGTTTGTAGCACCTCGCAGTGGCGTACTATATAGCCAGGAGGTAGCTCACCAGGCCCCTGCCCTGCCTTCCTCGATTTTTTTTTCTCGCCATCGAATACAGGGCGCAAAATGACCATTTGCCTGCCCCCCCTCTATTCTTGTCAGCCTGAAGAAAAAAAAAACATTCTCCCTACGCTCCTGCCACCTTGAGACGCTTATCGGCTATCTAGCTTTATGTGAGTGACTCTGAAACACCTGAGAGAGCTTATTTTTGGATTACGCTGCTGGTTCACGTGTGCAGGGCTTTCTGCGATAATCATTAGTTCGAAGTCGATACAGCGCTTTTCCTGTCTTGTCGTTCACCTCAGCTATCTTCGTTTGTTTCGCTGGTTTTCTCTTCCGAATATTGTGAACCGACTCGGCCAGCAAGCTACATGTTCGGTTTGAAAAATAATTAAGTCGGCGTCTAGATCTATAGTTAGTCCAAACTTTGTCCGAGATAGAAAGTAGGCAAACAGGTGAAGGAAAGGCAGATAACTCAGTTTGATAGCTTGGCTGGCTTGGTGACAATGGCATAGCCAGTGTAGCCAGGGAGTTAACACACTGGCCAGTGCCCTCCCACCCCTCTCCCGAAATTTTCGTTCGCCATGACATGCAGAACAAAAATGAACATTTTAAGGGGGTTCCCGCCTTCCCGAAATCGAAAAGGTGCCCGCCACCCCCCGAAACAAACTTCTGCCTATACGGCTCCTGTCTGGCATGGAGTAGCGCAAAAACAAAGTGGAGGAAACACGAGACATTATACACCCAGACTTTAGTGTTTTGTCCGCATTCATGTACTGTGTGTTTCTTCAAACGGACTTAATGGTGATAATCACCTCGTCCGATTGTCGAAGTTACTGAACCCGCCACCCTGCACTGGAGATCGTTTCTGTTTGATGGAGCATTTCATCTATTGTCATTTTCTGTTTCTTCAAGTGCTTCATTCAAGCCCATATGCGTTCCAGCTTCTTCACATTTTTTTTTATATATTTGACCTAAACAGCTATAGCCTGTGCTCGTTTAGACTGCTGAACAATATCAGCAATTGCTTCAAATAGAAGATCACTTCTACAATAGTTAACCCTAGCTGCCCGTCTGCTTTCGTAACCTTCTCCCTTCTCCACCGAAGTGGTGCTGTTCCGTGACTCGTTTTCACAGTCATGCTTATTGTTATTCCAATTCCAATTCTCCGCACCTGTTATTGTTATTCAATGAGTGGGAGTAGTCTCGTCAGCCGGAATGTGTCGACAGTTGGTCCATAGCCAGGGAGAGGGGGATGCCCAAGCCCCCTTTCCCCTTCCACCGAATTTCGGATGAATCGGAATGTTTCACCGATGACAACTATAGTAAAAACGAGTGTTTTCAAAGCCTTCAGCAAGTGCCTCCCCTCCCCTCGAAAAAAATCCTGGCTACGGGCCTGAGTCCTCGCCAGACGCCACCGTTGGTGCTGGTACTGTCACTTACCCGGATTCGCTTTTTACAGTGAACTCGAAAATAGCTCAAAATCCACCTTTATTTTATATTCAACACTACTTTACCACGTTCATAGGAGCAGTTAATCCAGTTATTTAACTTGAAGTGGCCTTTATAGCCAAATCAATTGTGATGCCTTTTCCAAGTGGGCATAATAATAATAATAATAATAATAATAATAATAATAATAATAATAATAATAATAATAATAATAATAATAATAATAATAATAATAATAATAATAATAATAATTTGTAAACAATACGTGAGCCCTCTGGTGACGGTCGAGTCTAGACAGAAAAGAAAAACCTCAACACGCGCGTCTACTAGCCTGGACTATTTACTGGCGACAGGATTCATAAATAGTTTAACTGCGCTAATACAAACAAGGACACATGCAAAGTGGAAGAAACATGCTGTATTAGCGTTGAAACTTGTTTGTTCAAAACGTTGAAACTTGTTTCTATTAGCGCCGTTAAACCATTCAAGAATGAACGTCAACCAACTAGCCCAACCTGGTGCTCTCCTGTCGGCAGAAGATGCCAAGGAAATGTAGGTTTATAAAAAAAAATAATTTAGTCGTACTCAAATCACTTAAAAGGCGCGCAAAAAAAAAAAACTCGCCCGTTGTGGCGGCGGCGCGCCTATTAGTTGTCGTCAGCGGTGGCGCGTCAATGTCGCGGCGAACATTTAAACGCATAACGCGATAGCATTGCCTCTAGCGGTGATAAACTGCTTCACAACTTGTCATCTGTTCGTGCGGCGCTCACTTTGAATTATTAGCCACCGCCTGCTGGCAGCTGCTTGAGCAGCGCCGCACCGCCTTCGAGCGCGTTGTATGGAGGATATTTTGGGCTTTCTTCCAATTTCCGCAAACAAGCTTGTTTAGTGGGAATTCAGCGCGGCGCTGTTGCTGCACGTCTCCAATGCAAGCGGACAGTGCCAGCGACGGTAGGAGGTAAGACTGTTTTTCCTCCATCTCTTCCCGGTTGTTCGCTGACTACGCTGTTTCAACGCCGCTGCTGCGCGAACAAGAAAGAAGTTCCGCTTATTCACCCTGTCACATTTGTGGTGACGGATGGGGAGTACAAAGAAGTGACCAACGCTGGTTCGGTGATTTCCGCTTGTTGTGATGTGCGGAGGTTCCGTAGTTTGTGTTATTCACCGCTAGTTTCTCTTCTTTTCCTGGTATGGGCCCGTCGTCTCGCGCTCGTAGTACGTTGAGCGCTTGCCCACGATGAATCACTCACCTACTCAAAACGAGGGCATGCGACAACCGCTAGCTGAATCAGGGCCGTTACCAGGGGTAGCTGAAGGGGTGCTGACACCCCCCGAAATTTTTTCGTGCTTTAGCTTTTCGGGTGATACTGAAGTATTTGCAAGGCTTCACATCGACCCGGCCCCAGATGCCAAAGATAGCCGTTTGAGACATAAAAATCCCCGAAAAAAATATTCCTGGATACGGTCATGACCTACATGGATTAACCGATGATGTTGTTATCCGATTAATGCGATTAACATTGAAGATTACATTTCCTTTTTCAAGGCGTGTACTGTCTAACAACCCCCCCTCCCCCCTTTTTTTTTTCTCCAAACTAAAAAAAAAAACATTTTACTAGTTGCAATTAGCTGGTTTCGATGTAATATTGTTTATCGTGTAATCCAGCACACTTGATTTCTATATGCTTGCATTTATGCTAAAGCTCTAACATAGTTGGGGAAAGGAAAGTGGGAAATAATGCGTAATTTCGAACAATAAGGTAACACTTCTATCCCATTTATTTGGGTGCAAATTGTGATACACTTTGTGGAAATGCATCAAGTTTACATGGCATGATTCTAAGGCACTCTGTATTACCTTTCCAGAAAGATGACGAAGGAATATGTTCTTATCAATGAGTTTGAGAAATTAACAACATTTAGCTTGTAATTAAATATCTAATTACTCTGCGATTGGTCACCTTCAATCCTTGCATAAAAAATTGAATATTAGGCCCAAAATGCATGCTGTTGGATTTTTCATTGCACTCATTTGGAACAGAGAAAAAACACTCTTACATTAGTTGTGAAATGCCTCACATTGAGCGATTGTCGAGCACGATGCAAAACAGTCGCAAAGATAATTTCGAACCGGATAAGAGCCACACTTGATATATATCAATCGTCTTAGAGAACAAGCCGACTTCAGAAATGGTTACCCTGTCATTCCACAGCTACAGTGCTGCTCCTCCAAAAAGTTAGCAAAAAGTTGGGGAAATATGATTAACGGGTCCATTTGTGAGTTTTAACCTCTCCCCTGCTATCCAATGCTTGGAGTATTCAAATGACTGCATGAGAACAAACTGGTTTCGAGATTAACTTTTGTCTTGAAGGTCCTTGTGGCTTCATGCTACAAGTGGGAGGTTGTCGATTTCCATTTATTAAGATTAGCGACAATACCTGAGCAATGTACAGTTTACCAACATCGTACTCTTCAGCAGTAATGGCAGTGAATTACAGAAAAAAGAAATGACTGGAGATTTAAAGAGACAAAGTCTCAAAGTAGTGTTGAAAATAAATGTGCAGGCTACAAAGATAATGCTAGGTGGTCTGGCAAAAGATAGAGAATTTATGATAGACAGCCCGACCCTTGTATCAGTAAAAGAACATGTTTATCTTTGCCAAACACTGACGGGAGTGCCTACTCTCGAAGCAGGAATCCACCAAAGAATAAAGATGGACTGTTGTGTGTGTACGGCAGGCACTCCTACCGGTAACTTGCTGTGATCATGGACTAAAATGGAGCAGTTCAATATGCCAGTTCAACAATTCTATTTTGCCAGTTGAACATACATGGCAGAAACCTGGAGAATAACATCGAAGCTCAATAAGAAGCTAAGGGCCAGTCAGTGCTGAGTGGAATTATAAATAGGAATGCAGCAGAGTGGGTCAGAGAACAAACAGAGTATCCGATATCTTAGCAGTTATTAAAACGAAATCCTGTCCACGGCATGCACAGCCGTGGACAGCAGAAGTGCTAGATGAAGCGACGAAACCAAGAAATTGACATGCATAAAACATAATCGTCGTGCCCAGAACTGGGTGGCTGTGGCATCATTGTAAGAGACCTTTGCCGTACAGTAGATGTTCAGGATCTCTCCATTGTATTGCTAGAAGCCGACACCTGTCACTCTCTTGTCTCTTCTGTTGTTCCACCTAGTGTGGTATATAGGTAAGCATGCTATGTGCGTACAATAAGCATTGCAGGTTGAGCGTCGTGTTGTGGTCATGTTGATTCGGTCATGTTGATGCAGTCATGTTGATGCACCTCAAATAATTGGTAGTAAAGACGAAGACAGGACTCTCAATTACAGAGTGTTGTAAATTTAATGTGGTTTTAAGGTGCTGGCTGAGACAGATGTAAAAAAAAGAGCACATGTAAACATTGATATACTGGACAGGAGTGGCACTGAAACAGCTCATGAACTTTGAGAGACATATTTTAATTGTAATTTTTAAATTGCTAATTCCAGACATGCATACACAATTCGCAGTGTGAAATATGTTCACGAGGTAAGGCAAAAGGAGACTCGTATGTCTCCTGGTGAGGTTTTCACCGCGGACTTGCGTGTCCGGCAGCAGGAGCAAAACTAGTGAAAACATGTCAATTTTTCAAAAAGATAGGTACCTACCGTTGGCCTAGTAAAATGTCAGTAACATTATATTCAGATCAAGGGCGCTTGTTCTATATGAAGTTATAAATGCAGTGTTAAGCACTTGATACGAAAAATCATGCGTTATGCATGTGCCAAAATTGCACCATGCTCCACTCCATTCAATAAATCTGTAGGTAAGTGGGCATGCTTTTTATTTACAGCTAGTGTCCGAAAACCGCGCTTAGTGGTAGGCTGCACCGACTTGTCCTAAAAGTTTTAGTAACTTTTATAAATCTGGATATAGGAGAAGATGCTAATTATTTAAAAACAAGCATAACTATGACTGCAGAAATGTAAAGATTTCAACCCCACCTTTGTTTACACTGTCTGCAGATGAACCTTGATGACGGATACATTTCCAGGCAACAAATACTTCATTAACAATATTATATTAGACATACATATTTTATTCAATGCTTTTCAAGAAACTGTTTTGATTCAATGCTTTCTAAAAAAAGAACTTTGTCACATGGCCAAGCTTTTTTTCATTAGCTCGGAATGTGGTTTCGTCACTTGTCTGTCATTGTGTAGCCTCCCACTCTAGGCTGCGACAAATATTCGGCGCACGAGTGTGTTGACTGATAACTGTGTTCATGCACTGCTTTATCTTTTGTGTTCTCGATAGCACACGTGCTGTGTGTCAATCCACCTGTAGTGAAGCTTATCGAGCAGCCCAAAGCCTATTTCAAGCTTCACGCTTCAAATGCGATGACAGGGTTAGTAGTCGGAAGATTTGAGGCCTGTCAAGTTGTAGACGTCAAGGTATGGCATCAACATGTTTTATGGGTGCTGTATGATTTTCGTCTGAGAAGTTAACTACATCAAGGCACAACCTCTTTTCTATTTCGTATGCATGAAAAGCACAACTTTTATTAGGCAAATAATGAATTTGAAGGTAATTTGTTGCACTTAAAGAGAACGCTATCTAGATCATGTCATATGTATCAACAACAATTTTGATTTGCTACGTCACGTAATACGTACTAATGGGAAAGTTTGCGAAGCGTGATATGGATGAAACAGCACACGTAGAAAGCAATCATGTACAGATAAAAATGATGCAAACACAGACACTGGTGTTTGTATCATTTTTATGTGCTCAAGATTGTGACTTAATTGTGTCCTGCTTTGTCAATATCATGCTGCATTGCATTTCTTTACTACAAAAATTGCTAAGAATTATTAAGTTAAATGTTAAAAAGATTGAAGCATGGAGTTCATCATTTTATGACTTAGGGAAAACAGGCTCATATCGCCATTAGCTAAGCTGCATTTATCAGAGCATCTAAAGGGTTTATTCATTATATTTCGGTGTACAGCTTCTGTGAAATTGTTAGAGTGCTAATGGAGCACTTTCTTATCAGCGTCCTACTCTTAAGTTCTCGAAACATAACTTCAAGAGGAAGGCGTAATGCATCACTTATTTTGTCTTCTTTAGATGTCTTAATTGATAGTACCTATCCACACAACTGTAATATGCAGGGTTTCAAGAAATTTGTCTTAAATACTCGAAAACCAGTAGAATGCAATATTTGCTGTCTTCACAATTGCTGTATCTGTTGTGGCAGGCATCTCATGATGGTCAAAGATCTAATTTGGGACTATAGTTAAGGAAATAAAGTTAACTTTTTAATTATCAAAGCTAGGCTGTTATGTCCAGTGCTCGCATTGAAGTTCTTCATGTGAAAAAAGTATCGTAGCTTTGATGGGTAGAAAAAGCAGTCTCTAGAAACTGATGTGGTGTAATAAAATTAAATCGAATTTGACGGCGACACCGAGAATGAAGCATTGATGAGTGAAACAAGCAGACGACCTGAATAAAGTCACTATTTAAGACAATTACATAAGTGCAGTTCTTTGGTGTTTGTTAATACATGTGTACCACTTTTAATTACTGTGCCAAATAATGTCTTTAGCCATGATAAGATGCCTGCAGCTACAGCAGAAGTAATTCTGAAGGGGACAAATGTCGTATTTCTCCAATTTTGGGGGGGGGGGGATTTTAGATACATTTTTTTTTAAATAACCAGTATTTTTTGTTGTGATTCCTTAAGTAGAAAGTTGTCAACCTAGTTCATCAGTTTTCTTAAATTTTGTACCTTGAAAGCACTCGCCTTTCTCTACCTGCAGGGACCTACATTATCTCAAAGTGAACGCAGACAAAGAACACCCCTCACACACCACAATCAACAATTTGTCGATTTCTACCCCATTTGACAACTGTTCTTCTTTGAGACAGCCCTACTCACTTCTTGTGAGGGGCTTCTCTAAGGAGACGGGTGTGCCACTTGAACGCCATTTGATTGCTCCTGCTGCATATCTTCTGCCGTAGCAAAGGCAGCTATATAAAACTGTGATGTATCTTTTGTGGAAGTTACAAAACATGCGCATACTGCACTCATCCGTACGTACTTCCTCGAACTCGAGCACAAATATAGTTGTCCAGAATTCTGTACCGATGTCTCAAAGGCGAGCACTTCTGTTTCCTATGCTGTGGCTGGCCCATACTTTTCCAATGCTGGCTCTTTGCACCTCAATACAAGCATATTCACAGCTACAGCCTATGCGATATTTGCGGCATCAAACACATTATAAAATTAAAACTAAGTGCAGTCATATACACCCATTGCTTTTAAGCGTGGTAAAAGCCCTAAAAACACAGAACTTGTGTCGCTCGGACTCACTCTCATGCACGGTCTATACACTCAAACAGCATGTCGTACGTGTGCTGGGTGCCAGAGCATCACAAGACACAAAGAAACATGCCGGCTGATTACTTAGCTGCATCCATCAATAAAAACACTGCGAACGCATCCATATCTATCCCTGCACTTGACCTAAAACCTTTCGTTAAACAGAAGTTCAGGGGCTTAGTGGCAGAGCACATGGACTAGGCACACACAAAATGAGCTGCACGTAATCGCGCCTGAACTTTAGGTAATTCGGCTGCCATTATCAGTCACGCCGCACAGAAGTAATACAAGGCTAACAGGAAGTGCATGCACTACACATTCATGTCTATGGTCCAGTGGCAATCCATCTTTCTGTGATAAAGGTAGTGACCACATGATAAGTGTAGTGACCACCATACTTTATATTTTAATACAATGCAAGGATTAGATGCTATTAGAAAACAACACTTTCTGTTACTCTACCGACAGCACAATATTCCATTGCACCTATTGATGTTCATAGCGAGTCATTTCTCAAGTCACGCATACATCTCTCTTTTTTCAGTTGAATGTTTTCTATTGAGTATCTTTGCAGAGAGGTAGATATTTCACAAGTGAAAGAAAACAATTATGTTTGCTGGATTAATTTTTTAAACTTGAAGTATGCTATTTAAACAAAAATGAGGCACCTACAATTTTTAGGAATTTAAAACAGGATCACATCTTCATTCAGCAAGTTGACAACCATGCACCGATTTATTTTAACAGTAGCGTTTAATCTTGTCAGCTTACAAAAAAGAAAACAAATGAGACAAACATTCTGCCAGATTGTTTTCGCAAACACTGAAAAATAATGGCGCTAAAATAGATGCTTGCAGAATACCAGAGGCTTAATCATAGGCAGAAAATATGGGGCAAAAATGCAAGTTTAGTTCAACTAAGAGGATTGGTAGTCTTTCCTTCAGCATGCACAAGCTGAGACAAACACTGTTAGTATGGATTTTATAGATAACAAGCTGCTGAGAAATGTCAAATCTTTGCAAGTTTAGCTAAAACGGGTGCTTGTACGTACAAGTTGCTTCGTACTTTGGGTAGATAAAACAGCGCAAAGGAGGCAGAACACACACGGAGAGCCGTATCTGTGTTCCTTTTGGTGCGTTCTTTTTTTTTCTTCTTCGCTGCATTATCTTGCCTTTGAGAGGTCAGATATAAATGGCTTTGGTTAGCAACAGCAGAACACTCGGACTCGAGAAAAACAACCTTAGTTTCTACAGATCTGCTTTGGGCGAAACCACTTTTAAAAAATTCTAATCTTACACTTAAAGAAAATCAACAATTCGAACGTTTGCAAATGTAGGTGATAGGGACAGGGGACAGCAATTTTTTGGGGTGTTCCTTATACATCTTTTTTTGAACTGACACAATTTTCGGGTTCTTCCCCTCCTTGCCCCCCTCTGGAATGGAAACATGTTCATACAAAAAGCAAGAGATGAAAATTTTGTTTTCGGAAAGGAACGATGGTACAGCAGTTGCCTTTGACAAAAAAACTTGGTATTCGGTTATAAGGAAAAGAATTCATTGGTTTTGACCTATTTGTGTTTTGAAAAAATGTGAAATGTTTAAAGGGTGCTAACATTGTATACTACCGGTCAGCACAGCTAGGAGTGTGTGCAATATTTGAGAAAACTGAGGAAAAGACTTCAACAAAAATTTTGTTCAGTGACAGAAGGATCAGGTAAACAAAAGAAAAGCTGGTGAGTTGCACGAATAGAGGTGTGTGAATAAAACCTTTTAATTCTCGCTCATGCATGAATAATTATTGACTGGTAGAATATTTTTTTCAGTTCAGGTGTTAATAACCATAACTAAGTGAAATTCCACAGTTTTACAAGTCTGCCGCGGTGGATCAGCACTGCAGTGAGGAGTATTCATATGATTGGCAAGGCAGTGGCGCCCTCTCTTGTGAAATGCGAGAGTCGACTGAATGTTTCAGAGGCATTTTTAGCTATTTAAAGTTGAATAATGAGATTACTTCTTGGTTATTTCTGTTAGCTATTATTTTTCACTTTGTTCCTTTATTTTCGTTTGATTGTGAGTACTGTAAGCTTTGTTTTAGGCCTGTATTGACCACTTCATTTTGAGCATGATTGCAGCCACATGAGATCTATGAATGGACTGCCATGCTTTTTTTTTGTCACACAAGTTTTGCACACTTATAACACATGCATCAGCTAAATAAGGGTCATTCTATGCGCATTACCTCTTCTTCTTGTGTCGGTAGTTTTGGGACGTTAAACCCCACATATCATCATCATCTCCTTCTTGTGCAGTGCGTCGCATACCCCCGATGACTGGGAAGACCTGGCCATGAGCAGCCGCCCAGCAAGCGTGATGGAGAACATATTGATGACTATCAGCGCGCTCGTGCAGCGCGCCTCCTCTCAGATCGAGCTCGTTCGCGAGTCTGAGCTGTACCAGACGTACCTGAAGGATAACCCCGTGTTGTCCACGAGTGCAGCCGTCATGCTGGGTGTTCTCAGCTTGCCGGCACTGGTCTTTCTCAGCTTCATCGTTGTCCTCTGCCTCCTTACTTTCGTGGGCTTCCTCTTTATTGAAGGTAAGTTGTACTCGCACCAGAAGGCAGCCACAGTCAGTCTTCTGGTGAAAATGGTTGATGGGGCGAGTTGGGGATTCATGATGGTTTGGAATGTGAGCGTCATAGGTGGACAGGGACGTCCGTGTCTTAGCTGTCCCTGTCTACATACCTGCGCTTTTACTTCGAACCTTCTGGTGAAGCTATTTCTTTGACTGTGGGTTGTACTAAGAATTTCAGTTGCAAGTATATTCAAACATTTAACTGGTGAATTTTGCACTTATGCCACTAGGGTGTACTTACCCCGGACACTTAATGCTTCTAATTTCGAGCTTGATTTCTTCATCAGGTATTTGTTGAAGTATTTGTTGGGAGGTACATACAGGGTCTGTTATAAAAGTAATGTACATTAAAAAAATTTTTTTATTGATGGGACCTATACAAATGGCTTAAATTCTTGAAAATACCATTGCACTTCATCAGTAGACTCGCATAGACATGTTTGCCATGCCTGGAAGGTACCCTGAAAGCTTTTGACAGTAATGTCGACTCAGGCAACTTTGTAACATGCTCTGTGGTGTTTTTCGCGATCTCCAATGCTTTCCTTTCAAAGCACGTCATTGCTTCTGGCTAGTTGGTAGTCCATAATTGCAAGGTTTATGGCGCGGAACTTCTTACACAAAAGACAGAAATACACGACAGGTGCAAGCGCTTACTTCTAACTAGAGTCACTGTGTGTGCTGCCCTTCGGTAGCAGAGTAGTGCCTTCGTTTTCCAGTGCGGCTAGCAACCATGCACTGCGGAAAAGTTGGTGCACAGGACCTACCGTTGAAAGCGATTGCCGTTCTCCTGGAATCTATTAAGTGACCGGCGTGCGCTCTGTAGCTCATTAGCTACGAACTGGTTCTTTTATTTGCATGAGATTCATAGTCCTTTAAGCTTCGACAGCAGAGTTTCTGCATGTATTCGGCATCATTTTCGAAAAAAATACTGAAATAATCAATGCTGTAGCCTTAGTGGAGCACTCCTTGAATTGCGGAGAACCTATACTTTGTATTTGTGGGTTGTTGGTTATCTTCCATAACTGGCAGCCACTTGATCATGCGGCAGCAGGGGGGCATGTTATTTGACACTACGCTATGCCTTTGTGCTACCGTCACAGACTAAAAAATGCTTTTGAACTCCCGTGGCACAGTCCTGAAAACAGATGTTCCTTCTTTCTTCCCCCTTCGTTGACATGCCAGACATGTCAACTGACGATCGGTGATAGGCGTAAGCAAGTCATTTGCAAAAACAAAGCAATGTTTTGCTGCGTTACTAAGGTTGCTAACCAGGGAAGATGGCAGACCTATGCGCTACGGCGTTCCCGTATAGGGAGCATATACAGTGACTATACTTCCAATTAACCTTTAAAAGAACACTAAAGGCAACTATTAAGTCGACCTTGGTTGTTGAAATAGCGGTTCAAAAACATCTTAGTGTTACTTTTGTGCCAAGTCACGTTTGAGCGTGTGGAACGTTTGAGCGAAGTAGAACGTGTCAAGTAACTGTGGCCGTGCAGTGTTGCCCGGCTTTACTGTGCGGCCGCTGACACTAGTAGCAGCAGAAGTAAAGCAGCGGGAGCCACAGCAGCAACAACGGCCATTGAAGAATTTCCTGTCATTGGCTCCAAGATGGCAGACTGTTTTGGTTCAACTGACCTCTGCTAGATGTCACGACCTGTCCAGTTTAACCAGGCGAAAATTAAACTTTTGAACAACTCACGCCATTCCCCACAGTAACCTTCCGCGGTTCTTTTTTCCATGTATCAAACAAAAACGAACAAGCAACATTTTATTATGTCTTTTGGTACATGGAAGGCTCTTTATTTAGTGCAGCTAGTTTTATTACTAGTGATTAATTGTAGGCAGTACGGCTAACGTAATAGGGATCACTTTGCAAATGCCCTATCGTAGTGCATGTGTTCTCATGCATTTACCTTAATTTCTCGGTAAGTAGGGCAATGCTGTTGATAATATTGTGATTTTAGACGTTGTCATACAGTGGGCTTTCACTCTGACATAAATTGTTGTTTGACTTTAGTGTCCCTTTATTATCGGAGCTCTAAAATATATACCAGTGAGAGAAAGAAGGAACAGTCGCACTCAGTCACCTGATCAAAACAGCATGTGTACATCACAATGCAATTTTACCATCTGCCATCAGGGAAGTGTATTTCTCTTGGGGTTAAGAGAAACGATAGTAATCACCGTAATCACCGCATTTCATTGCTCCAGCTTCTATTATCTCCAGAGTGCTCTAGTCTTTGTCTTCAAACAATACTGCAGTATTATCAAAGTACAGTTCCTTCCACACTTCAAACAAAAGGTGATCAGGTCCCCGCAAAGGCGTCTGGGCAAGCAGGCGTTTGGTGTGTAACGACACCACGGGCCCGAGCTAACGGGGAAATTTCGAATCCCTCCCACGCCCACCCATGCGTGGCTTTGCTGTGTCCGGGGAAAAGGGGATCCTGGGGGTTGAGCTGACGCTGGGTGATCGGACCTTTATGGCCCCCCGGCAGAGGCAACACATCCCTTTGGCCCCGGCTTCATGTGGACAGCAGCCCTGGGCTGACCCACCCAGGGGAAACCGGCAGTCGCCTTTTCCTATCTCTCTCTCTGTCTACATCTTCGTCTTTATCTCTCATTTTTAATCTGTTTGGTCAGTTTTCCCGTTTACTTCCAAATTTTTTGGTGGCTAGGGTTAACCCTGTGTAGTTACCCAACCTTGGGTAGTTATATTTGGTTATAGTGGCGATGCATGGCTGGCGTCTCCAAGTTTTCACCATTCGACCTTGTAGCGTCCCCTTGTTGGGCTCGGTGGTGGGTGGCCACCATTGGCGCCGAACTGTACACAATCTGTGTGGCCAACTTTTTACCCCCTCTCCCTGATCACCGCCAGAAAAGGCGGCGCACCGAAGAACCGTTTCTTCTTTCCAAACCAAAGCAGTTCTTCCCCAAGTTTCATGTCCTGCATAGCCAAAAAGAGAACAAAACAGTCCGAGCAATCTCACCTTTTCTTATCTTGAAAACACTCACCAAACCAATCGGCCCAGGATATCGTAATGAAGTTGGGAAGCAGCGACCGCCTTTTGGAGGTTCGCGACAAGCTCCAATACGACAACTTACCTAGACTGGTAGCGTTTGGGGATGTGTCAGTCTCAGTGAACCCTCACAGGTCAATGAATACAGTGTGCGGCGTGGTCTCTGATGACGACCTGCTTGGACTGTCCGAAAGTGAATTATTAGAAGGCTGGCAAGACCAGATTGTAGTCAAGGTCCAAAGAATAATTATACGACGAGAAAAAAGGAAACACATAATCATCACCTTTGGTACCAGTGACTCACCTGATTCAATTGAAACTGGCTACTGCAAGCTCCGTGTCAGGCCCTATGGGCCAAACCCTCGCAGATGATTCAAGTACCAGCGCTTCGGACATGGGTCACAAAGTTGCAGAGGGCGCATTACTTGCTTAAAATGTGCATCTAACGAGCACCATCAGATACGTGTACTTCAAACACATCATGCTGTGCGAACTGTGAAGGAGACCATGCTGCCTACTTGAGATCGTGCCCAATCTGGAAGAAAGAAAAACAAATCCTTGAGATTAAAGTGAAGTTAAATCTGTCCTTTCAAGAAGCACGTAAACGGTTCTCCATTCATCAGTCCAGTCCCTCCTTCGCCGATGTGAGGCGCCGGGGCGCTGCGCCACATCTTTCCGTGCCCGCAAAAGTCGCACAGAGTGACACTGCGAGCGCGCCACAAGCGCCACCGGCTGGAGCAGCCAGTACTGCTCCGCCACCTAAGAAACAGGGCCAGCAGACTCCGCAGTCTGCCGAACCTCGGACCACTGCAAGCGCAGTTAGGTCCGAAAGTTCTGTGAATGTGCCGGCCGAGCAGGCATCATCCACCACCTCACAAGAGGCGATGGATACAAGTACGACTCTTCCGGCGCCTAAGACGCAGAAGGAGAGGTGCATCTTTTTGGAGTACACTAAATAAGAAAGACTACGAATTACAGGGCCTCCTAAGGACCCTGTAACGTAAGGCAACACCTTTGTACACACAGCACCACACAGATTAACAATGACACAAATATTACAGTGGAACATCAAAGGACTGCTGAAAAACCTCGACGATATTCAAGAACTTTTACACAAACATACACTAAATGTGCTGTGTGTACAAGAGACACACTTGAAACCGAAACACACAAACTTTCTACGTCGTTATGCTATGTTTCGAAAGGATCGGAATGATGTAGTCGCATCGTCCGGTGGTGTTGCCATTGTTGTGGATCCAGGAATTGCCTGTACACATTTACCACTTCAGACGTCTCTTGAGGCAGTAGCCGTCCGAGCCGATATATTGAATAAACTGGTCACAATTTGCTCTATTTATATACCTCCTCAGCACCAACTTAGTAAAAAAGAATTCCAGGCGTTAATTGATGAACTTCCAGAACCGTATCTTCTCCTTGGAGATTTCAACGCACATGGCAGTCTGTGGGGTGACTCGCGCTGCGATGCACGAGGTCGTCTGGTTGAACAGTTTCTTTTCTTCTCTGGCGCGTATCTCCTCAATAGGAAAGAGGCAACATATTATAGCCTTGCTAACCATACCTATTCGACAGTTGACCTAAGCATTGTATTTCCATCGCTTCTTCCACTACTTCTCTAGAAAGTCATTAATAATCCTTTTGGAAATGACCACTATTCTGTAGTTCTGAGCTCAGCAGTACCAAATGAAAGTCCTCCACAGGTTCCCAAGTGACTGATAGAAAAAGCCGATTGGGACCAGTTTTACAAGGCTGCTAGCTTAATTGGACTGACATATGCGGTTCTAGCTTACATGCAGCTGTAAAATACTTTACTGCTTTTGTTATTGAAGCTGCAGCTAAGTGCATTTCACAAACATCTCGACTGGGCAGAAAACGACGAGTCCGTTGGTGGAACAGCGAGTGCTGAAATGCTCGCAAACAACAA